CACAGAGCACACACCTGCACAGAGCACACACCTGCACAGAGCACACACCTCCACAGAGCACACACCTCCCCAGAGCACACACCTACACAGAGCACACACCTGCACAGAACACACACCTGCACAGAGCACACACCTGTACAGAACACACACCTCCACAGAGCCCACACCTGAACAGAGCACACACCTGCACAGAACACACACCTGCAGAGAGCACACACCTGCACAGAGCACACACCTGCACAGAGCACACACCTGCCCAGAACACACACCTCCAGAGCACACACCTGCACAGAGCACACACCTGCACAGAGCACACACCTCCACAGAGCACACACCTCCACAGAACACACACCTCCACAGAACACACACCTGCACAGAGCACACACCTCCACAGAGCACACACCCCCACAGAGCACACACCTCCACAGAGCACACACCTGCACAGAGCACACACCCCCACAGAGCACAGACCTCCACAGAGCACACACCTGCACAGAACACACCCCCCCACAGAGCACAGACCTCCACAGAGCACACACCTGCACAGAACACACACCTGCACAGAGTACACACCCCCACAGAGCACACACCTTCACAGAACACACACCCGCACAGAGCACACACCTCCACAGAGCACACACCTCCACAGAGCACACACCTGCACAGAGCACACACCTGCACAGAGCACACACCTCCACAGAGCACACACCTGCACAGAGCACACACCTGCACAGAGCACACACCTGCACAGAGCACACACCTGCACAGAGCACACACCTGCACAGGCCACACACCTGCACAGAGCACACACCTCCACAGAACACACACCTGCACAGAGCACACACCTCCACAGAGCACACACCTGCACAGAATACACACCTGCACAGAGCACACACCTGCACAGAGCACACACCTCCACAGAGCACAAACCTCCACGGAGCACACATCTGCACGGAGCACACACCTCCACAGAGCACACACCTGCACAGAGCACACACCTGCACAGAGCACACACCTGCACAGAGCACACACCTGCACAGAGCACACACCTGCACAGAACACACACCTACACAGAACACACACCTGCACAGAGCACACACCTGCACAGAACACACACCTCCAGAGCACACACCTCCACAGAACACACACCTCCACAGAGCACACACCTGCACAGAGCACACACCTGCACAGAGCACACACCTCCACAGAGCAGGCCTGTAACTCTGCATATTCACAGCCCACTGTGTAACCTCTGCCCCCACCCCCTTCACCCCTAGACCCTGCAGGTGGCCCTTGCTTGGGGCTCCCTGTGGGCAGAGCTACTTTGGGACTTAGTGTCCCCATACACAGGTCCTGGAGCTGCCTGTGGAGGGGCCCGCGAGGCGGCCCCAGAGCCAGGCAGGGTGGAGTCCCCTGGCAGGCCTCCCTCTCAAGCCTGTTTTCTTAGGTACGTGTGGGGAGGAGGACCTTGCACTAAGCACCCGGCATGGGGTGCTGTCTGTGGTGAGGCCGGTCCTCTTGCCCTGGGGAAGGGAGCAGGGCTGCCCTCCTGTGCCCCACACAGTGCTCCCACCTACAGACTTACCTTGGGCCCTGGGACCCCTGGCTCTCCTGGGATGCCCGTCTTCCCGGGGAGGCCCTACAGAGCAAGACAGATGAGCACCACACCCCACCCAGCCCTGCACCCCATGGCTAAGGGGCGGAGAGTGGGGTGCCAAGGGCCAGACGTCCTGGCCATCCATCCTTCAGTCCTAGGCATGCCTGGATTTGGTCAGGTTTTTTTTTTAACTGTATTTTTTTTGTCTTTTCTTTTTTGGTACTGGGGATCGAACCCAGGATGTTGCGCTTGCTAGGCAAGCGCTTTGCCACTGAGCTACATCCCTGCCCCATGCCTGGATTTGGGTAGATGAGGTTCAGATCCTGGGCCTGTGTGCGTCTGTGAGCCTCTAAGCTCAGGGGGAAGCTGGGGGCAGGGGGAGTCAGCCATGGCATTTGGCTCAGCTCAGGGGGAAGCCGGGGGGGCAGGGGGAGTCAGCCATGGCATTTGGCTCAGCTCAGGGGGAAGCAGGGTGGGGGAAGTTGGCCATGGCGTTCGGCACAGCTCAGGGGAGAGTTCAGGGGGGTGGGGGGAGCTGGCTCCAGACACCCGGCCCGGGGCTGTGGGAGGGACCAGGCTTCATCAACGAGGATGCCTGCCAGGTGAGAGCCTGCAGGTGGACAGAGCCTCCAGCCCCGCGGTATCCAGGACAGAGCCCCCTGTGTGCTTTGCCTCCCATCCGTCCCATCCCAGCCTGGCCTCGGCCCCTGCACAGCGCTGAGGCCAGCGGAGCCTGCGGCCCCGCCTGGCAGGGATGCACGAGAAGGGTCGGATTCCGTGCCAGAGAGGGCAGCGCCTGCCTGTGGCGGGCGGAGGCCCACACAGGGCAGGAGAGGCCCAGCCAGGCTGGTCTCCTGGTTGGTTGGATACCTCGGAAGCCATTGGTGAAGCTGGCCCTCGGTGCAGCAGGTCTGGGGAGGGTGCTGGAGGTCTGGGCTCCTGCCGGTTAGGGGGGGAGGGGGGCACTCTATTCCTCAGTGACAGAGAAGACCCCGACCATTCAGGAAGAAGCTGCTGGACTTACCGGGGGACCTTGGGGCCCTGGGGGTCCAGGGGTCTCTGGGGAGTGGGCGCAGGTAGAAGGGAAGGCCGGGCATACCTCTCCGCCCCTCTGGAAGGAAGGCACTCCTGCTGTGGACTCTGCCTGGCTCTGTCTGACCTCAGGGTCAGAGGTCACACAGACACCAACCCGCACAATCCCCAAGGGCCTCGAGCGCCAGGGCTTTGCCACCACCTACCGAGCCTGGGAGCTCGCAGCACCTGTCCTGGGCAGCCCAGGTGTCCCCACACAGGAGCTGCAGCATCTGGAGCTGGAACTGGGGGGGAGGGGTCAGCTGGACGCAGGCACCACAAATAGCTCAGAAATGACCCCCGGCCACAGGACTCACCGTGCCGAGCTGTCCTCGGGCCCCTGCCCACCCCCTGCCCTCCCCCTGCCCACCCCCTGCCCTCCCCCGGCCCCGGGACTCACTGTGGCCAAGCTGTCCTGGGGTCCCCTGCCCTCCCCCGGCCCCCCCACTGACCCGGGCCGAGCTGTCGTGGAGTCCCCTGCCCACCCCCTGCCCTCCCCCGGCCCC